AATTTGAGGTTCACACTCAAGGGTATCCTACTTGCAACTGAAGCTCTGTTTCGATATTACACCTAAGATGTACGTGATACACAAGAAACTTAATTAATGAACAGAAAGATATTCATATTTAAATAAAGGGCGTTTATTGCCTTTATTGATAATTGGCTTTAAAGGAAACAGAGTCATTAGCAAAATTTCAAAGGACTTTGTACGGCATGATGGCATGTTGGCACATCAAGAACCACTGTCCATATTGGGAGAAAATCTGTTGCCTCTTAACACATCGATAACCATCGAGACTGAAAAGTCTGCAGAGACTGCAAAAGTAGTGTTTGTCCACTCCGCAAAGTTTGCATTTCGATGTGCAAAGCAATGTTTAGATCCCCCTCAAGAAACAGCTCTATCTTATTTCGGCCTTGTTTGATCTATAATTGCATTCGGTTATTTAAATTGTCGCTTTGTTAAGCGAGGAGAAATACAACAGTTCCAAACACGCTACACCACCAGGAACTTAAATACGGTTACAATCGACACATCTAGGCAGTTCGGAACGGCCGTGAAACACTAGCACTAAAATTTATCTTCCAAATCTGCACCACTAATCCCCACGAAATCAACGAGCGCTTTTCATTCAACTAATTTACTCCTGTTTTCTCGTTACCATATTCACACCAATGGCGTAGCTCCACTTTCTGCATAGAAACCCACACAACCCACAATTCCTCAAATCGCTCTGACGAGGGGCTAACGCTCAAAAAGTCAGCTTTTTTACCCTTTACGGTGGCTAATTTACGTTTTCAACTCAGTTGTTAACACTAAATTACCTGCTATACTCTCCCACCGTCGCAGCACCTCAGTTTCTTTAGAAACTTACCCCCTTAATCGAGGATATCATTCCCCGGATGTAATCTGGCCCAAGGGGTCTGGGTATGAGTGACGGGCAGATAATTTCAACATTTGCAGAGTTTGCTATTCTTGAGAACATTTTAAATTTTGACCCAGTCTGACTATACCTGATTTCTACTTTGGATGTTAGGTTATTAATTAGGGCATAGATGCTTAAATTCCTCTTTCCAATGTACACTACGCAATACGTCGAAAGGAGTTCATTTCAGGTCGATTTCCGATTACGAAATCCAAGCTCGCCCGATTCCGTCTTCGTGATGAAGGCCTAAATTAGCATTCTAGACTCGCCAAGTAAAATCGAAAGGAACACACACTTCGTTGTCGCTCACGACTTTGTAGAGTGTTAATATATTTGCAATTCTTCTCCGTTGCTATATCCAACAAATGTATTTCATGCCTGCCTTTCACAACCATCCACAGATGGTCGATCATAACTACATACAACATAATACTGTAGTGACACCTCCACACGCAATCTTTCGAAATACCGAATATAGAAAAAGATCACGGTCAAAACCCGCAAGGGCAGGGAAATTGTGTTATTTTGGAAGAGATTTTGAAATCGGAAATCCGGACGTATTGAGAAGGGTGCGCTTCCAATTCAATCCCAAGTGAAATTCGTGCCACGCAAGGTCGTGGGTGGCTGTGGAACACTAACCTTTCGGAATCATAAAAAGGTGTTTAAAATGGTCATTTAATTTAAAATGCATCGGCAATATTTCATCGGGTAAATTGCGTCTTTAGCAGCACCCACCCATCCTTATATATATTGGGGCTTGTTTGAGGGAAGCAAAGGGTTTCTACGTGACGCGAAGTCGAGCCTGATTCATGAATTTAAAAACCAGCGTGAGATGTGATTTACCTCTTGAAATATACGTGAACTGTGAGTTTTTGTTTCATTTCGTGAAAGCTCGAGATTTTTCCTAAAAAGTTACAAACAAGAAGAGATACGAAGTTTTCCCTTTAAATTCGTGACGCGCAAAATGCAATTTAAAATATTCGAGATCTGGGCATTTTTTTCAAATTCGAGCGTAAAACAGGATCCGTCAGAACCCCCTTTTTCGATTCACAGTGTCCTATCGAAGTTAATCGCCGAATTTAACGGGTTACGTAAAATAATTATAACGAGGAAAACGATAATTTTAACGAATGCCATTACCGCACACGAAATAGTAATAAAATTCGAAAGAGAATATATTTTCTTAATTCCATATTTACATACATTTATACATACATACATTTATTGAACACATCCCCATCTGGGGCTTTTCGGTGAACAAATTGGATTACAAAATTAAGATACATACAATACAATACGAAATATATCTTTAAATAAAATATGGTCAGTTTAAAAATTCATTCAAAAGGTGATTTTTTTAGAGCTCTCTTAAAGGAAGCGGGACTCTTACATAATTTAAGGCTTGGATCTAACTTGGTCCAGATAGATACACTTTTATAATGAACGTTTTCTGTCCTGTTGCAGTTTTAAAAAGAGGAATGTTTCGTCGTTGAAAGTTTCTGGTTATACTTCCATATATGCTGCCTCTTGTTATATACATAGATGTTTTCGAGGAGTTTCAGGCCTATTAACAGTTAAGGGCGGAAGTCATTAGGATATTGTACTTCATGGTTTTATTTACCGTTATCGATGAATATGAGGAAAGTTTAAGGGAGGTTTTTTGAGATAAAATAATAATAGTCACAAATTAACATCAGTGCACGAATCCAAATGCAGAAGAATCCGTTTTAGAGATTATTTGGAGTTGAGCTTCCAACAGGTATGCCTTATTGGGGGGTCTTAACTGGGTGATGGCTTTGACGGCGAACGGCTGAAATATCGACCATTTTACGGCTAACGGCTAGCTACTTTCCTTTGAGATTAACAAAAATGACATTCATGGAAAGAGGGAACGTTATTGAACTGCAGGACGAGGCCAAAAGGATGGATCTTCAGGATGGCTTTCCCAGGAGCTAATTGAATTTGCGAGCAATAAAGCCGCTGGAACTGCCAACAATTAAGCCTAAACCTTTTGCGGAAGCATGCTATGATTTTTGTGACAAGAGAGAAGTTCAAGAACTATGCACGCCGTGGATATTTCTGTTCAAACAAGTCTGTAAAAAGGGCACTTGAACTAATTATCCGCTGTACGTAAAGTGACAACAGAACTCATATAATAAAAAAGCGTAATATTTATAGTGATGCGAGAAACTGAGGGTTAAAAATCAGTCAGGTCGTCAACGCTTGTGCATACGACATAACCTTGCTCCCTTATGAGTAATATCAAGTCCAACATACGAGAGGTGGAAACAGAATATTTTGCACTGTTGATTTATAATTGCTTGCACAGGCAATATATGCAATACTGGCCAGGGCTATTTAAAAATAAAATGATAAAAACGCAAGAGTGACGAATTCAAAAACCGGAAAAGCATCGAAATGCTCTTGTGGGGAATTAGTAAGGATAGCCCACACTGTCTCGTCTTCACTAGATTTTTATTCTTCTCCTCTTCTATTCTCGCTAGGTTTCACAACTGTCACAACTCCTCGACTCGACTGATATGAAAGATTACTTCGACTGAAAGCTAAATAAATCACAGACAATTGTTCCTTATCTTTGCGGGACACCTTAGTTAAAAAGAACGCTGATTGGCTAGATACGAATCTTCCAGACATAAGAATAACAAAATTTCCAGACAAACATTTCACAATCGCTATTTGATATCTATGCTATTATTCTGTTTCCGACACTCTTAATTTTCGTTCTGCCATTGATTTCAAGATGGAAGCCGCTCACTCTCAGGCTCTCGCCTTATTCTCCAGGGCCGGGTGGGTCAACTTCAAACCGAGGGTGATAGTTCATGTTTAAAATCATGTTTAACTCCCTGCTTACCTGTGGGATCACGCTGTTAGTCAATCAGCGTGACGCCGTCAATCCCTGGCCTGTCCCCAGGGGTAGGGGAGCGGGGGGACAAGTGTTGGCGAGGATGCTTAAGAGGCTGTCTCTCTTATTTCCACCCGGTCAATTTTGCGTCAAAAATAATTTTGCCTGAAACTCTGTTAAAAGAAAGACTTTACCTAGGAAAGAACTAAATTAGATTTGGTTTGATTCGAAATAATTTTCTGACTGCATTACGGGCCATAATTATTTCCCAGTCCGTAGGGACCGCGCAACGTCTCGAAAATTGAAAAATAGGCATATTTTGTAACGTTGTAAAATATTTGATTCGCATAGTTAAGCCACAGAATTTATATCAGATTGCTTAAAAACCTTTCTAGTTTGCCAAGAAAGTTAGAATTTGCCCTCTCAACATATTTGAAAAGGCGAATTTTAGCATATTCTGACCACTAGAAATCGCCATCGGCCGATGGCCGTAAATGACCTTGATTTAGACGCTAAGTTTTGGGATTTGGGACCTGGTTGACGATTCTATCCTACACAGCCGTTAAGTTTAGACCTTTATAGGCAAAAGTATGCAAAAACCCCTGTACGTTTTCGATTTTTCAAAAGTTATGACCGTTTGAATCAGCACATGTACGAGCATTCGCGATTTTTTCGCCTACACCAAAATCGAACCACTGGAGCAGATTTCGTCATAAATACAGCTTACCCGCTTTGCAGCCCGGCTTCATGGCTCACTTCAGAATTTTTCTAATAACCAAATTGGTGAAATCCATGATAACTTCAACAAATAGCTAGGTATTGCCTTCGAAAAGTAGGCGGCATCCATCGTGATTCGTGGTATCAAAACAAATGTCGAAATTGGCCACATTTCGCGGTGAATCACCCATTTAACATCGCTGCAGAGCTGAATTTATCCAAAATCAGAATATAAACTCTCCATGTCTGGAAACTGAGGGAGAAATGAAGGTTTTAGGCTTCTGAAGTGAAGAAATAATCGCTTAAATTTAGATCAGTTCGATGTTATACTGTTCTCACAAAGGTCCGCACAAAAGAGAAGACCGCTGATAGCTTGTGCGGTACGTTATGCCATATGGTTTTGTTTTGTATCCCAACAGCCTCTTAAACAAGGATTGCGTGACAAATCTTATACGCCACCAGGGGTGAGGTGCTTTGCGAACCATCGCCACTATTGCTAGTAGGATGTGGGCCACTTGGTTGACAGTAATCTTCTCGCTTGAGATATTCAGCGTGACATTTGCAAAGCCTAACGTTCTTGTGTTTCTTGTGGATGACCTTGGAATCGCTGATCTGGGCTGCTTCGGCAACGATACGATGAAAACTCCGAATATCGATCGGTTGGCTGAACAAGGAGCTCGACTGCAACATGATGTAACGCCAGATTCTATCTGTACGCCAAACAGGGCAGCATTTCTAACAGGAAGATATCCCATTCGGTCAGGACTGGCTTCAGATCAGAAACAAATAAGAGTGTTCATTTTTGCTGCTTCCTCTGGCGGTCTGCCTCCAAATGAAACAACATTCGCCGAGATTGCGTCTGCTGCTGGCTACAAAACAGGTACGCTCTTGAGCAATTATTTCTCATTAGCGAACATAAACCCGTTGTTAACGACATGTTCGGCTTATTCCTTTCGTTGTTTCGCTTTTCACAAATATTTTGCGTTTTATTCATGGGTACATGTATTTTCCTCAATTTTTCTATTCCAATTACATGTACAATAAGATTTGGGGCTAGGACAGATGAGCATCTAATATCTCCTTACAATGTCAGCTCTGAATCGCACATTAAGTTCACGAGAAAAAAGGAAATGATCACCAACTATAGAAGCTCTTGATTGTTACAAATTCTCCTTGTTAGCACCTTAAAAATTGTACAAAGAACAGTATGGAGAATATGTATATTGATGTTAAATCGTGTAGTTTCCCACATCCTTTGCCTTTGAAACAGATGCCCAAGTTTTACTAATGAAAGTGGCCATGTTGAACAAAGTTTGGCTTGAGTAGCATTCTTAGTAAAAATCTTAAGTAAAAATCTTCAATGTGTTATGTATAATAACTGGTTATATTTCAGCAAAACTTTATATACTTGTTTTTAAAATGATTGAATAAAGAATTCTATTGCACTTTCTGTTTTACCAGGTATGATTGGAAAATGGCATCTGGGACTGCATTCCTCGACAAGCTCTGATTTTCACTACCACCCGCTAAGGCAAGGTTTTCACTATTACTATGGTCTGCCTCTTACCAACTTGAGAGACTGTGAGCCTGGAAGTTTTGTTATAGAGCACATCATCCCAGGCTTCAGACCCACAAATATCCTAATTGCAGCAACAATTATTGGATTAACACTACACATCTGCTACCTAAACAGTTTGATAAGCAAGTCAGTTTTCTTTTCCTTACTTGCAATAACTGTTTTTATTTGTTTCACACTATCGGCAGGCCTGATCATTCTTGCAGGATTCAACTGCTTTCTGATGAAAAACTTTGAAGTTATAGAGCAACCAGTTGTTCTAGAAAATCTAACAGCACGGTTTACTGATGAAGCAGTGAACTTCATCCATAAGAACAAAGACAACCCCTTTCTCCTGTTCATGTCATTTGCCAAAGTGCATACAGCTTTGTTCACTACAAAGCCATTTGCTGATCACAGTGTTCATGGTCGTTATGGTGACAATGTAGAGGAAATGGATTGGAGTGTGGGTCAGATCATGGCTTCTTTAGAGGAACTAGGTTTGAGGGAAAACACATTTGTGTATTTCACATCTGATAATGGACCTCATTTAGAAGAAATAAGTCCATCTGGGGATTACCATAGTGGATGGAAGGGTATTTACAAAGGAGGTAAATGAAAAACAAAAATCATATGATGTACAGGTATCTGTTGTGTGTAAATAATAGCTTTGATTTGAATTTTAGTCAAGCTGAAACAGTCTTGCTGTCTATAGCAAGGAAAAAAAATTGGCAACCTAATTTTTGGCATGTCACCAATTAGGGGAATAATGCCTGGCAGTTGCTTAGCATTTTTTTTTGCGTTTTTTTGAATTAGTGTATATAGTCCAAAACTTAAGAGAGATAAACACTTGCATGCAATTTTAGTAATGCCCCATCATTTTTTTTTTGAGAAATAATTTGGTTCTTTGTTCTTGGTTGTTTGAGTTTCCAAAATCAATTGTAAGCCATATTGGCTGCCATTAAGAGTTTCAAAGCTGACTCTTCTCTGACAAAGTGCTTACTCTCTGACAAAAGGGCTTACGCTCAAAATGTCAGCTTTGAAACTCTTAACCCTTTAACTCCCATGAGTGACCAAGACAGAATTTCTCCTTACAATATCCATACAATATCAACCAGATAAGTGATGAGAATAAAGATAAATACCAATTTGGGGATAATTAGTTGATCAAATACTAAATTCTCTGAGTTAACATTACAAGAATTGTATGCTTGACAGTAAGAAGAATTACAAATTTGATCTGGGAGTTAAGGGTTAATGGCCAATTCACATCATCAACTTAGTTGATAATACTATATTACCATGTTATACTCTCCCACTGATGCAGGATCACAGTTTTTTTTAGAAACTTGCCCCCCTTATGTAAGCCATATTGCTTAACTCAAAGACAAGGGATGTGGTCAGCAAGTAGTGTGTTAATTTTTGTTGTTTTGTTTGTCTGTTTGTTTGTTTGTTTGTTGTTTGTTTCTATGATTCAATTTATTCTAATTGCTAACTTAGCTCATTCTGTTATTCTGTTATTCTTTCATTCTTTTACTTTTTCATTCTTTTATTCTGTGATTCTTTTTATTTTCTCTTTCTTTCTTTCATTCATTATTTCATTAATTGTTTCATTCTCTTATTCTTGCATTCTTTCATTTTCCATGTTTTCATTCTTCTTTAACCCTTTAACTCCCAAGATCTCATTAGTAATTCTCCTTACTGTCTGCCAAATGATTCTCATTATGTTAGTTTGGAGAATTTGGTATCAGATCAATTAGTACTCTCATAATTGATATTTTTCTTTATTCTCATCATTTGCCAGCATGATATTGTATAGATAAACTAAGGAGAAATTCTGTCTTGGTCACTCATGGGAGTTAAAGGGTTAATTGTTTCATTCTCTTCTTTCATTCCTTCATTCTGTCATTCTGTAATTTTTTCATTCTTTCATTCTTTCATATCTTTATTCTTCAATTATTTCATTCCTTTGCTCTTCCACTCTTTCATTCTTTTATTCCTTTGAGCTCTCATTCTATTCTCTTACTTTTTCATTCTTTCATTCTTCATTCGTCCATTCAGTTAGTGAGTAGATAACTCATTCAGTCTTTTAGTTATATGTATTAATTGCATCCAGTTTATTACTTTTTGCCCATGAAAGTATTTGTGTATTGCAAAGGGCACAAATTTAAATTGTTTATACTCATTTTCCCCAATTCCAGGTTAATCATTCAAATTTAATGCATCTATATTTGAAAAAGTTTTATGAGAATTTTTTTTCTTTTTTTTTTTTTTTTTTTTTTGCATAGGTAAAGGGCAATGTTGGGATGGTGGTGTGAGGATGCCTACAATAGCGTCATGGCCAGGTCACATTCCAGCTGGGATCTCAATTGATCAGCTCACCAGTTCTATGGACTTATTACCCACAGTTGCCAAACTAACCGGCACAGACCTTCCGCAGGACAGAGTTATTGACGGAAAAGATCTCTTACCGCTATTGACGAACCAGACAGAGGAATCTTCCCATGAATTTATTTTCCATTACTGTGGAAATCAGGTCCATGCTGTTCGTTATCATCCAAAGGACAGTGACATTGTTTGGAAGGCACACTTTATGACGGCTAAATGGACTGAGGGAACTGAAATGTGTAGTGGGCATGGTATTTGCGGCTGTCATGGACATCTTGTCGAAGTTCAAAATCCACCTCTTCTCTACGATATGACAGATGATCCCGCAGAAAGTTCGCCACTTGCTTCAAACAGTCCAGATTACAAGGCGGTTATGGAAAATATTTACCCGGCTTTAAAAACACATATTAGAGGAATTCATAATGTCCCTGGTCAGTTGGGTTATAAAAATATGTTTTACCCAAGATTACAAATGTGTTGTAATTTTCCTTACTGCAGTTGTAAGGAGAAAGACGGACAACTGGAACATTTTCCTGAAAACGTATGAGGCTTTATTTTAGGTAAATTGAAAATAATAGGTTAGTTATCTGATTTCAAGAGTTTTATTATTGGCGAATGAATCCATCATTTTGCGTTCATTTTCAAATGTTGTATGTCTTGATTTTGGATGACATGTAATGATGGCGCTGAAGTACTATCGACTATTGGTAACTGGATTTATTGGGAGTTCGTGTCACCGGAAGTTCGCGTAATGGCAAAATCGTGTCTTCGGGAGTTCGCGTTACGGCAAAATCGCGTGAACCAATCAATCAATCATTTTATCTAGTGATGCAGGTTATAAAAGCGGCAGCCATGAGGCTGATGTGGACCTACAATTAACTAATAAAATGTGGAATAATAAACAAAATAATTTGTAAAATCACCCTATGGTGTTTGAATTCAGTACAAGTCAGTAAAATGAGGTTCATTGACGAATAAAAGTGACAAACGAATTTACAAATTTACATACAGTATAATAATACTTAAAAATATACAAAATCTCGGTCTTTCATAGCTATCATGGGTGCTTGGAATGAGAAGCTATTTGTGTTTTGTGAGAGCCTACGTAAAATGTTTTTAAAACTGTCATTTTGAACGTTTGGATTAAAATTTACCAACCTAGTAAAAAAATTTCAGATTACAGGGCCTCTGTATTGTGCTGATTCCTTTCGTGAGTTCTTTTGAGAGTTTGTGATATCGGAAGTTAGTGTTGCCGAAAAGTTAACTCGAACTTTTCGGTAAGACTAGCTTCACACTAGCTAATTACCTTACATTGGCTCTTTTTCTGTTGCCACGTAAAAAAAGGGTTCACCAATTTGCTGAGCGTTTTTGTAACAGCATCGATATCAAGTTGGTTTTTTCATCTTTCAAAATAGGCAACATGTTTGGTGTGAAAGATCCTATCCCTTGTGGGCTCCATACGTGTGTGGTTTACAAATTTTTATGTGCAGGCTGTACTGCCTGCACTGTCGGCGAAACCTCTCGACGTTTATCCACATGCGCACGTGAGCACTTGGTCAGTGATAGGACCTCTCACATTTTCATATGTCAACACTATTCTCCACAATGTCGCACTCTTTGTTCTGAGGAGTGTTTTAACATCTTAGATCACGCTTCTACAACTTTTTAACGTAAAATCAAAGAAGCTATCCACATTCAATGGGAGAAACCTACACTTAATCATCAACTTTATCATGTAAATTCAAAATTTTCCTCGCAAAGGCATACATTGTTTTGTTACTATCATTTGTTTTGTTACTGTTGTTTGTTTTGTCAAAGTGTCGTTTATTTTCTGAATTTTTTTTGGTTTTCTGTTGTCCTTTTACATTTCTGATATTAACTAGACCCTGTGAGAAGGGTAACTGGGATATCTGGATGGTACTGGATCCGTGGAATCAAGTGTAGTGATACTACGAGTGTCGGACTAGTATACTGAAATAGTGAGCTCAAGTCTAGCCAAGGGCATACACCTGTCTCAAAACATAGGCACGCTATGCATGCAAGAGTTATTTTTTGTAGGGTGGGTGGATTACTTGAAACATTGTAAGTGGTCTACATTCTTACAAAAGGAAAGAAGATTATTAACGCGGGAAAGAATGAAAATGTCGAATTACCTCACAAACAGGTATTTTGTGGTAGATTATGTGTGTTGTGCGAATAAATGTAACCAAAAATAAACTGTATTAGTGCCACGGATACCTGTTAGTACAAAATGGAGACAGCAGACTGCAGACCGGATACAAAATATAGACTGCAGAGTGGGTACAAAATGCAGACTGAGAATCTGAAGAGTTTTTACGTCTTGTATATAATAACATGTCATCTTACAGCTTACCGAGCGTCACGCAATCGCTTTTCCGCGATCAGCCTTCACGATTATTTGCACTATTGTGGAAAATTCCTGGCCCATTTCTTGATGAAAACCGATCGTAATATAATTTCAAGCCTTCAACATAGTTGGTTGGTGTGATGTCTGTACAGATTTTACCAATGTAATAAAAGTAGATGACGTGAATAATAGTGATGGTAAAGCAAGCTTAAAACGGTAACAATCGCCAGAAACTACAACGGATACACAGGGTATGAGTAAGTTTTATTGATTTTACGAGAAAAATCTTCATATTTCGAAATATTTATCGTTGTAAATCGACCATATTTCGTTCCCTATTCCTTATAACGTGTTCAAATTTTCAACGGTTCCTAGCATAACTTACTCTGAGTCACACAACGCGTGACGCGTTCGTGAATTAATCGTTGGCTCCTTCTCGAGACGTGACCTTGGGTCGCCTGTGACAAGACAATTGCGTAAACAATACGTAACATAACATTATACACAAAAAACACGGGATTTTGGATCATGTATCTATTAAAAAAGAATATCCATACAACTACAATGAAAAAAAACATAAGATTCACCTTTCTGATCGTAAAATTAATACCATTCGCACTGTTATCGTAGCTACGTTCCCTGGCATTAAGTGAATCCAACATGGCGTCTTTTTTCACAAGACAAGCGACTAAATACAGGAATGGCTCCGACCTGTGATTGGATGATAAAAATAGTAAAAGTTAATAACTTATATCTTAACTCCTTGCTCGTGAGTATGGTTAACCGCGTGTCTCGAAGCGGAACAATGAAATATCAATGTGAGAACACCGATGAGTCAATCAAGAAATGGCTACTTACATAATTAAGAGAAGGCAGAGTCTAGCTTGTTCAGCGAGGTCGTTCAGCGATATTCCGGCGATGAAAAAGTCATCTGCTGACTAGCTCCGCTAACTTAATTCATTTAGTCAACTCACGCGGACAACCAGAGTACTAGAGCCATTCCTGTATTTCACCGCTGACAGGAATAGCTCCGACTCAAACGTTTAATAACTTTTTTTCAATGATTTTTTAATAATTTTTTAAACAGTTTTTGAAAAAAAATTTTAAACTTAACTATTGAGCAGCGCTGTGCAAACAGAAGTTTTAAACAGATGAAGAGCCCGATGAATGGATTTGTCCTTCATGTGAACAATAACCTAGAAAATCAGTTTTCCACGAAAAAAAACTCCCTCGATTGTGGCCAAGCCATATTTTTCCAGCAGAGCATACTGTAAATTAAAAACATCGGGCGCAGCGTCACGCAAGATTGCGTGATATTCCAAACGTGAGGTGCAGTTGCTGCATTATTTTAAAACTTAGGAACTACATGGCCCTGTAGTAGAATCTAATAAATCGCTTTTTCAGTTTTTATCTCAGTGTATGAATTATTTAGCCAGAACGAAAAAAAAATTAATATACGCATGAGTTGGAGCCATTCCTGTCTGCGGTGAAATACATGAATGGCTCCAGTCTCTGGTCGTCCGCCTAAACTGACTAAATGAGTTTTGTCAGCGGAGCTTGTCAGCGGATGACTTTTTCATCGCCGGAATATCGCTGAACGACCTCGCTGAACAAGCTAGACTCTGCCTTCTCTTGATTATGTAAGTAGCCATTTCTTGATTGACTCATCGGTGTTCTCACATTGATATTTCATTCGAGACACGCGGTTAACCATACTCACGAGCAAGGAGTTAAGATATAAGTTATCACCCTTACTATTTTTATCATCCAATTACAGGTCGGAGCCATTCCTGTATTTAGTCGCTAGTTTCACAAGAAGTTTGCATCCATTTGAATTTTGTTCTTCAGTCTCACGGTAGTAGTGTTGTTCAATAGATTGCATAAAGTATATGCAGTTTGGTTTCAGATTTCAGATTTTGCTTTTTACAACAAGTGAACGTTTTTCAACTAAGACATTGGCATACTTAGCATACAAGGCATTCGAGGCTTTCATGGCTTTCAAGCGTTCGCGACTGAATCCGTTCCAAATTACCGCTCAATAACATCTTTCAGTGTGGATTAGCCGCGATTAATACGACTTGTATATGCGTCTGTAAGTATTTTGCGCGTTTGCGCCATAATGCTCCAGGAGATCGCAATCCAAATACGTTGAAATACAAAATAACCGACCAAAGAGATTTATAAGCAAAATCTCGTGATTCGTCATGTGACCCGGCCCTGTCCTTGCATGACAACGTCAATCATCATCAAGATAACACGCGTGATCAACATGTGAACACCTTCATTGGATCACAGTTAGTTGTCATGGTGTTGAGGGCCCAATGACCACTGGGTACTATTGCGCAATTTTTCCATTTTGTGGCGGAAAAAAAAAAAAAAAAAAAGACGACAAAAAAACAAAGGCAGTTTATGACTGGGCTACCACAGGTATCCCAGTAATAAACATGCCATTTCTCTCTAAATTTAGAGACTTGCGTCCATATCTCCTCTATACTTTGTAAGTTAAATTCTTCACTTTTATTTTACAAATTTTTTGCGATCAGAATTTAGCGTCTTAACTTAACTGAAAGAAATCAGACAAAAATCGTAACATGTGTCGAGCCCGCGTTTTTTTCTTTTGATTTTAGATAGTTTACATTTTGTTATCCCGACCTACCTGCAGATAGCTTGTTCCGTCATCTTTCACACCCCCTATTGCCACATCATAGTTACTGATTTTATTTGGTGCTACTCCAGCAACACCGAAACCAACCCAACCTGTGGTTCTTACTTGCACCATAGTAGTTGTAGGAAACATTGTAATTTCCCTTGTCATCGAGTATGATCATGTTGGAGTACATGTTATACATACTGCTACTTTTTGTGGAAGCCACAAACAGCGCTAAAATACACAACTGTACAACAGCCATTTTCTTCGTCAAAGATCGGCCTCGCCTTCATTGAGGAACAGTAGCCTTGAACAACCGTGCATTTTTGTAATTGTCCGTTTCATAGCCTTTTTTCTAATTACTTACGTAGCCAATATCTTTCGATGGCATATTTTGTATTTTTACCTTTGTTTTGGCTTCAAAACAAGCTAAGTGCGATAACAGAGAACAGGAAGCAGCAGTTAGAGAAAAATAAAGATATGCGAAGAGAATATTCAAGTGGAAAGTTTTCAGTGATAACAGGATGGGAAACCAAGGAAACCAGTTGTTTTCTGAATGAGATATTTCCTTTTACGGTGAATCTGAAGAGATCAAAATTGAATCATGCAAAAGCTGGAAGAATTTGTTAACTTAATCAGATGAGCACGGAGATCTCAACTACTATTCCGATAAAGGGAAGTGATAAACTGCAAGCGAATGAAGTGAAAGAAAGGTAGAAAATACATAGGTATAAAAGTGACATCTTAACCAGCTGAAAATTAGCCAATGATATCTAGGCAAAATCTATCTAAATTTAGGCAATTGGTCGTTAATTTTGGACCTACTTATAACACATAACCGCTGGTCTTTAAGCGTGAGTCCAGCATTGGAACAGTATTGGTCAAGTAAGATAAATTAATCAACTACCTTCGCTTTCAACCAATATCGATGCAAAGTTTCCCCACTTTGAATACGCATGTACTTGACTTAACGTTTAAATATGTCAGTTGTCAATATATCTGATGACTCTTAAGTTCAGGAAATTTAATCAAGCCACGTCACTGTTTTTTTATTTTTAAAAATGTAGTCTCGCTTTATAAAGTTTC